GGAAACTGAGAACCAGAGAGGAGACAGGACAGCAACATGCCCTAACTCCGTATCCAGGGTTCCTTCTTCTACTTCCCCCCCGCCCCCGCATCCTGATAGTATTTGTCCTAACCAGGAGCCGAAGGCCTGAAGGCCCTGTTCCCATGGGAACATAGAATACTTGTAAGAAATCCCTGCCCATATTTCCAAAGGCCCCACCAGAGCCAGGTTCCCAGTTCACACTGCTGAGCCCAGTTCTGGTTATTTTTAAAACCAGCTCTCGGCTTCGTCTCCACCAATCACCTCCCCTTGACCCTCACCCCCTCTCCTCGGACCCAACCCCTTCCACCTCCGGGTCTGCATCCTCCCACACCCTAAAGCCAGAAATTCTTGAAGAATGATCCTAGCTCTGAGCTTCAGATTCCAGGCAGGGACGGGATTTCCCAGTGGTCATCCGATGCTCAGTCCTCCATGGAGACCATGTGTGGCTGCAGAGGCCTGGTGGAGGGGGACCCTCCCTTCCTCCTCACATCTCAGTCCTGGTCCCATCTGCCTCCAAACCTCCCCTGTCTCAATCCCCCAGGCCACTGCCTGGCACCTCCAGCCCACGCTCTCTCTCACACCTCTCCTGTATATTCTTTTCATCTCTCCAGCAGTACCTTTCCTGATGTTTCTCTAAACCCTCCATTCAAACTCTCCAGCCCCTCACTGTCTGCCTACCTGTGGCCCCAGGCCCACCGGGAAATTATCGACTCACTTGCTGCACTGTTCCTCACCTGCCAGCCTCAGCGGGAGAGAGAAGGCTCCGGGATTCAGAACAGGCACCCTTCACACTTCTGACACTCATTCTCTGTACCCTTGGGCAAATCACTACCTTTTTCTGGGCCTCCGTTTCCCCATGTGTGGAGGAAGAAGGTGGACTAGTGGATTCTAGACTGCCTTGCAGCTCTGACATTCTGTGATTCTGTGATCTGTTCTCATCCTGCTGCAAAGCTACTGCCCCACAAATAATGTCAATTTGCATGTAATGTTTATGCATCTATGTCCTATTGAAATACACATGCATGTGCCACCCCCTACCTCATCCTCATCAATAGTACCCAGAGAACCATAGGAAAATATATGGTGGCATCTGTTTGGAGTAGCCAGAGGCCCCCACCCTTCCAGACCCTTCTTCTTGCTCTCTATTCCCAAGCACATGAGACTCTCTAATGGAAAATTTGCTTTGATTTTAGCCAAGCACCTCGGCAGCCCAGGTCAGCCCACCTGAGTGTCAGCAGGAACTGGAAGATGCTGAAGGCCAGAGAGCTGTGACTGGGTGTGCAGCAGAAGGGGTAGCAAGGAGCAGGGAGCAGGTGAAGGGGATTTCTAAGCATTTTGAAATCCATCCGCTACCATGCAAATGACATCAGCCCAGCATGCAAATAGACAGAATCAAGTTGAGACAGTCAGGGTGGGGGAGCCAACAGTGTGGCCGAGGAGCCCCAGCGGGGGAATAAGGGCTTCCTCTGGAGGGCGCAGGACTGCTGGAGGAGGAGGCTCCCGTCAGGGCAGGGGGCCCTGTGTGCCCAAGCCAGGAGGGGTGGGGATTAGGGTCGGACGCCCTGCTGTCAGGGTGGAGCTGATGGATTGCCGCTGGTGGCGGAGCACAAAGGCTGTTCTGTGCTTGGCACCAATGTGTTCCCATCCATCAGAGGGCAGCTTGTGGGGGTGGAGGGGTGTTCAGGGGGAGGAGGACCAAGCCTCTAGATGAGGCATCTCCACAGCTCGGCTCTAAGAGAGCAAGATGGGTAAACGGCCAATCCCCCTGTCAGGGTATGGCGAGGTCAAAGACACTTGGGTCACTCTATCAGCTCAGTCCTAGGAGGGTCTGTGCCCCACAGCTGGGCCCTGACATGGTCCCCACCCCACTCTACTCAGACATATGCAAATACACACACAGACAGAGATTCACAGAAACCAGGCACACACAGTCACCCTAACCTCCCGGCTCTGCCCTCATGTTTGGTCAGAGGCAAACATATCCAGACACAAGGCCAAACGCATGCCCGACAGAGCTTCTGCAGGCAAACGCCGAGTCTAGGCACTGCTCTTGCCCCAGGTCAGGTCCCAGATGGGGGACCGACATGGAGTGGGTTCTCAGTAAATATGTGTTAAGCAGATGAAGGAGTGAATGAATGAATTCCTTCTCTGGATTACATCAGCACTTTTTCTAGCCCGCTCTTTCTACCTTGGTTAGATGACTTTGTGTGAGTACTCATCAGTGAGCACCCTGAAGGCAGACAGCGGATGTCTTAGTGACCCCAGCGCCTGGCAAAGGTGCTAAATACAAGGTACTTGATGGAAAAAAATGAATGAATGAATAAACACACCCAGGGTGGAGCCAGGTTCTGCCTCCTCCATTCCTGCTGCTATGGTCCCCTGCGGGGCACTCAGAAGTAGAAGAAAACACAAAGCAAGAAAAGGGAATAACATTTGCAGGGTGTAGCCATGTGCCAAGTGCCCTTTCATTTAATACAACCATTCCCCTACTTCGTGCACACTCACCACCCTTCGCTAGCGGGAAACACGCGCCTTCTCCCAGTCGAATGCATCCTCCTGCCTCTGAGCGGGCTGTTCAGATGATCCTCACTCCTGGACAACTGTCATGCTGTTCCGTGTGGCCTCCTTGCCTCAGCTCTCAAGTCCTTCCCTGCCCAGTTGGGCATCCTCCCCGCTGTGCAAGTTCGTCTCCAACGCCCCCTTGCCTGAACCCCAAGCTCCATACAAACCAGCCTACCCAATGTCCTCCTGCCCTGCTCCCTCTCCTCATCCAAATCCTGCCAGTTCTCCAAGACCTGGCCCAGCATGCTCCCCAAGCCTTCCGCAGAGGCCCAGCCTGCAGCAGTTTTGCTGTCCCAAAAATTCCCAGAACGCTTTTGCAGAACCTACTGGTTTGCCATTGCTCACAGCCCCCATGTTTGCTGCAAAATGAACACAGCTCTCCCTTGTCTTGTAATCCAGGTTTCACATGTCAGCCCATGCTCACCAACTAGAGAGTAAGGTCTGGAAACCACCGCAGAGCAAGCCAGCTCCACCTCCATTTTATAGGAAGAAGACACATTATTTAGAGGTAAGTCACACTGGATCCTGGAGTGACAAAAGATGCACTCTGGGGGTGTCTATAGTAGCTTCAACATGACTTCTTTTCACAGGGCTCACAGGATTGGGGTGTAAACCAAGGCATGTTTTTTTTTTCTTTTTTCTTTGTTTGGCAGGGGATGTGTTGGAAATGGAGACTCTTATTCAGCCCAGCTGGTCAGGGGAAAGCAAGGTTTAGAACCCACGGTGCCTATGCATGCTACTTTCTATCATGTCGGTAAGGCCAAGAACAGAATTAGGACCTCACAGCTCCCCCTCAACATGCTTAGGGTTCTTTTCTTGCCCAGCTGTGTTCCCGCCTTCCCTCTGTTTCCTATCCCAAAAGCCCATCAGAATTCTCCTGGCTCCTTGCTGGGAATAATGACAAGAAGGAATGCTGGTTCTCCACATGCCATGCAGGTCTCACCTTCCCTGTGAAGTCTTGTCCCCCCTCCATTGTCCTTGCCACCAGCTTGAACTTATCAGTTTGATCTGTCATCGGATGAGGAATAGGACAGATCAGACTTAGTCTATGGGGTCCTAGGGGAAAAAAAAAAACTTGAGAACAAAGGGTAAAAGATACAGGGAGCAGATTGCCGCTCAAAGCTGCACGTCAATGGAACGAGCTGTCTCCTGACGTGAGCAAGAAGCTGACAGTGGCCACCTGGGAGGGATTCGGGCATCAGGGGCTGGGTAGAAAGAGGTGACCACCGCTGTTTACCAGATGGTAAGGTCGAGGGCAGGGACCCTGTCTGGGGTGTCCCTATAAGTCCCAGCCCTAAGACTGAGCCCTGTTCATGCTGTTGTCTGAAGTCTGCCCACTGCATTGGAAGGAATTTGTCCTCTCAGACCCTGAGGCACCTACTGAGAGGTGATCATGGCCTGAGAGGCCTGAAGATTAAATAGTCCCTGCTCCACCTGACATTTGAGACCTGCATGTTACTTGTAAAATTGATGCCTTGAACAGGAAGAGGCAGAACAACCAAGCCCGGTGGTCAAGGAGAGAGGAGATTTAAACTGAGTTTGAAGGGCTCTGTTTTTTCTCCTTTCCCACCCCCACCCACAGTAATGAGTCAGGAAAATTCTGGTGCTGGAAAAAGAGTTGAGGAGGTAACATGGAAGGACAGATCAATGGTCCGGAGTGAGACAGGGAGGAGACAGGGAGCTTAGTAATCTTGACCTTGACGCTCCGGGGAAGGTGGCAACGTGTAGCCTGTAAATTCTAATCCCTGCTCTGACGGTGGCCGCTGTATTAAAGAGAAAATTTCTCTTGACCCCTGGGCAAGAAAACCAAAACCCAAATAATTTCTCTTGCCTCAATTTACCCCCTGCCATCACATGAGACCTAAGAGAACATGCTTGGGAACTCCGAAAGTGGAATCCATTAGGTACTCTGGGTCTCGATCCTTCTTATTCCTGAATACTAAGTGCCCGTGGATAGCCAGAACCTGAAGCAGTCCCATTCTTTTCAGAGGGAGGTCTTTAAAAGAGTCTCATCCAACTGATGTAGTGTGATTAAGGTGCTGTCAGGAAGCAGGGAGATGGATAAGTTGGCTCTTAGGGCCCCTTCCAGCCTAAGCCTACCTTTCCTTGTTCCCTCCTGCCCCTATACCCACCAGCTTCTTTGAGACTAGCAAGGAGAGAACGGGCAGGCCGCCCAGCTAGGAGTAATTGAAAGGAGCAGATGAGAGGGGAATGTGTCCTCCCCCAACACCCCTTGCCCCACCGGGGCTGCTGAGAAATGAAAACTAATCAAATTACACCCGACGGCCTCCCGACCCGTGCACAGGAGCCCGCCTGGGCCAGGGGCAGGCTGGCTGGGTGGGGTGGGGGCCGTGGGGGAGAGAGAAGGGGAATCACATGTAATCCACTGTAAACGTCTTGATGTGCAGCAACAGCTTAGAGGGGGCTCAGGTTTCTGTGGCGTTGGCTATATTTATCTCTGGTTCCATGCCAGCGGGGAGGGTTTAAATGGCACCCAGCAGTTGGCGTGAGGGGCTGCAGGAGCTTGGGGGCTGGTGGCAGGAACAAGCCTTTTCCGACCCAATGGAGCTGTATGAGACATCCCCCTATTTCTACCAGGAACCCCGCTTCTATGACGGGGAAAACTACCTGCCTGTCCACCTCCAGGGCTTCGAGCCACCAGGCTATGAGCGGACAGAGCTCAGCCTGAGCCCCGAGGCCCGAGGGCCCCTCGAGGACAAGGGGCTGGGGACCCCTGAACACTGTCCCGGCCAGTGCCTGCCATGGGCATGTAAGGTGTGTAAGAGGAAGTCGGTGTCCGTGGACCGGCGGCGGGCAGCCACACTGAGGGAGAAGCGCAGGCTCAAGAAGGTGAACGAGGCCTTCGAGGCCCTGAAGAGGAGCACCCTGCTCAACCCCAACCAGCGGCTGCCCAAGGTGGAGATCCTGCGCAGCGCCATCCAGTACATCGAGCGCCTGCAGGCCCTGCTCAGCTCCCTCAACCAGGAGGAGCGAGACCTCCGCTACCGGGGCGGGGGCGGGCCCCAGCCAGGGGTAAGTGGCCATCTCATCCTCCTGCCCCACGGGGAGGGGGCCAGAGGGAGGCACCTGGACAGCCTCAAGACCCCAACAGGGGCTCAGAGGGTTGAAGCAGGTGCCAGACAGGATTGAGGGGCTGCAGGAGCCCTTCCCTGATCAGAGCTGGGCTGTCCAGCTGACCTTCTGTGTCCTGTGTTCTTTCCCGATGAGATAAAGGCTGTGGGGAGGAAGTACAGAAGGGGTGGGAGTGGGGAACACAGGACTAAAGAAAGGATCGGGAGCAAGGCCACAGCCAGCCCGGGTGAGGGTGAGGATTAACCCCTGCACCTGAGTCAGAGCCTAAAAGGCCAGGCCAAGTTCACCAGAGAAGACTGCTTTGCCCCCAGTCCCACCCCCATCCTGGGTGTGGCTGAGCAGAGAGAAAACCCACTGAGTCTCACTGGAACTCCAGCAGGCCTGTGCAGAGCGACTCTCACTGGGCCGGTCTGCTCCCATCACCCTTATCCCCAGGGTCAGGAGAACCAGGGACCCCTTTAAGTGGTGTCCTCTGAGGGCAGAACCACCACCCAGGATGGAGGCCAGGAAGGCCTGGAAGCAGGGTCTCTGGGGAGTGGAGGAGCTGGTTGCAAAGATTCTGGGGTTGGGGATGGCCTACGCTGGAAGGCCACAGCCTGTGGTCCACCCTCTGACCCCACCACAGGTGCTTCTGCCCACTGGGACTAGGCAGAGAGACACATCAAAGAATGGCTGTGCCCTGACCTTGGGCCTTCGCCCTGTCTTGCAGGTGCCCAGTGAATGCAGCTCTCACAGCGCCTCCTGCAGTCCAGAGTGGGGCAGCGCACTGGAGTTCGGCGCCAACCCCGGGGGTAAGTGAGGGCAAACTTGGCTCCAATCCCTCAGTCCCTCCCTGGGCCAGGTCCTCCCCTCTTACCTTATTCCTTGCTCTGGTCCTCTTCCTTGGGTCTCTGCAGGGACCTGTGCACTCCAGGGCCCAAAGGGTGGGCTGGGAGGTTCTGTGTGCCCCTGTAGTCTTGACCAGCAAAGGAGTTATGGCGGCTCCTGCAGCTCCCCAGCTGATGCCTGGTGGCTGACCTTCTCCACAGAGAGGACAATGTCCCCGCCCCAGGGGTCCCTGCAAAGTGCTGAGTCAGTGCTGCAAAACTGGGCCCAGCAAAGGGCAGGTCCAGTCTCTGAGGAGCTCCATCCTCCTCCAACTGGAGTGACTGATTCCAAATCCTGCCTCACTAGGGGATTTCAGAAAGGAAGGGCGCACGCGCACGCGCGCATACACACACACACACACACACACACACACACACACACACACACACACAGCATGGGGAAAGGCAGGGACTCGGGAGTAGAACTCCCGAGCTTTGTCACCCATCTGTCCTGGAAAACCTGTGTCACCCCAAGGATCCCATCCCTCATTCCCCCATTCTGGGCCTCAAGAACCCCAGCTCCTCACTCAGGTACCACTCTCCCACCTCCCCTTACAGATCATCTGCTCACGGCTGACCCTACAGATGCCCACAACCTGCACTCCCTCACCTCCATCGTGGACAGCATCACAGTGGAAGATGTGTCTGTGGCCTTCCCAGATGAAACCATGCCCAACTGAGATTGTCTGCCAGGCCGGGTGTCCTTGTGAGCCCCCCAAGCTGGCCACAGATGCCACTGCTTCTACAGCAGGGGCCTCCTAAGCCAGGGCACCCTGATGCTAGGAAGCCAGCTCTGGGATGCCATAGGCCAGACTATCCCCTTCCTCATCCATGTAAGGTTAACCCACCCCCCAGCAAGGGAATGGATGCCCTCATTCAGCTGCCTCCTTGGAGGAGAGGGCATTCCCTTTCCAGGGAGGTAAAGCAGGGGACCAGAGCACCCCGTCGTGTATGCCTCAGCTCAGGGGGCAAACTTAGGAGCTTCCTTTTCATCATAACGTGGCCTCTAATTCCACCCCCCAAATGAAACGGTTTGAGAGACAAAGACAGTGTCCTGACCTGGACAAGCTGTGCACGTCTCCTGTTCTGGTCTCTTCCCGATGCCAGTGGCTGGGCTGGGCCTGCCCTGAATTGAGAGAGAAGAAAGGGAGAGGAACAATCCTCTGTTCCCGAGTCCCTGGGGGGCCAAGCTTTTGCAGTGAATATTGGGAACCTTCCAGTGGTTTTATGTCGTGTTGTGTTTTGTTTTGTGTGTTGTTTGTAAAGCTGCCATCTGACCAAGGTCTCCTGTGCTGAAGTTGCCGGGGGACAGGCAGGGAAAGGGGGTTGGGGGCTCTTGGGGTGATTTCTTTTGTTAACTAAGCATCGTGTGGTTTTGCCATTGTTTTGTAATTTTTTTTGTTTTGTTTTGCTAACTTATTTGGATTTCCTTTTTTAAAAAATGAATAAAGACTGGTTGCCAGAAGAGTGTCGGTGATGATGCAGAGGGAGGGAAATGACTGACAGCCCTGCCCCTCCCACAGAGCAGGGAGGGCAATGACTGACTTCCCTCTTCCCACTGAGCAGTCCAGACACAACCTAGTGGGCAGGGCTCCACAGCGCTGAGGGCCTCGCCTTGCTGGTGGTCACTAGGCACTGGGGCCCCTGCTCTTTTTACCATGCCAAAGGAAGTCAGGCATGTCTGGACCTCGGTCTGGGGGAGACCAGATTCCACAGACATCCTTGTGGGACACGGAGGACAACTGGGTGGGCACTCCATTGCACTATACCTCACAGCCATTGCTCACAGGTTGCTGTGCGCCGTGTCATATCCCAAAAGGTCCTCTGGTTTCAGTTAACTGAGCACCTCGTATGCCCAGTGCTCAGCCCACAGCCAGGGTGTAGAGGTAGAATTTGTGGTTTCCCTTCCCTAGTCCCCACCTCTGCCCTGGTGTCACAATACCAGGAGCCCTGTAGAGGAGTGGGAGGTGAGAAAGGGAGTGAGGTCAGACACTGTAATTTCCTTGTGGGCCAAACAGCATGTCCCCTACCCACTCTCCTCCATTCCCTCCAGGCAGAAGGGGATTCTGGTTCCTGCTTGCAGCTCCCAGTATGAAGAAGATTCGGCTCAGGGAGGGTAAAGGGGTCCACAAAGAACAATCGAAGAGAAGCTGAGGTCCTCTTCATTTGGGTTGCTATTTTGCAAAGATTAGCTTCCAGAACGTAGAAGGTGGGTGGGAAATTGAGAACAAAGATTTTTGGATAGACATTACACAGGGATTAACTGGGGCGTTCACAGGAGCTAGAATTCAAATGGAACATGAACATCTACTGAAAAGTTTATTAATTCCAACTGCTTGGGGCTAAGTTCATCTGGTTCGTGGCGAAGTATAAGTATCAGAATCATTACAGAAGCAGGAATTCAGAGCATGGTATAATCCAGCCCTACTTAATTCTTTGGGGCCCTTGACAATGGACTTAACCCAGTGTTGCCTGAGGCTCTAGCGACTACCCTGCTCTGGCTCTGGGCTCAGCTGGGCCATCTCTCCCACACCCACCCTCCTGACCTTACTGCTGGAGAGGAGAGTTAACACTGTGTCCCTCGAGGTTCTCCAGAAACTCTGCCTAAGGAAAAGAATCAGAAGGAACCTCTGGAGGCTCACAGAACTCAGGTGAGGGTGCGGAAGGAAGGGTCTCCCCCACTGCCCGCCTATCCCAAACCAGTCAGGCAGGGCTTATTGGGAATTGCAAATTGGCCTACTCTGCTCCCATTGGTGGGATTTTCTTCTTTTCAAACTGGTGTCACTGAGTTTAGTCTTTCCCCGTTGGAAGAGCTGGAGAGGAGGACCAAGGTCATTTCCATGACTCTTAGCCCTGATTCACTGTCCTTGGGAATGAGGAGGGCAACCAGGCTGGCTGCAATGCCTTGACTCTGGAATGTACTCTCTTTTACTACCCTCTGAAAATACTCAGGACACATTCATGGAGGATCTTCTCCCCTCAGGTTCATTTCCTCTGCCCCCAGCACCTCCCACGCTCTTAGGGTGGAAACAACCCTGTCACCTACAGCTGTGACCTGCCCATCCCTTGTCCTCCTTCTGACTGGCCAAGGAAGGCACTCCGCTCTGCTGAAGAACAGGCTCTGGGGTTGCTGGAAATATTTTTTTTAAATCAACTCTTCTTCAGTTATCTTGACAGTTAGACAGTGAAGTTCGCGTTCATACTCTGGGAAGAATGAACAGTCCTCAGCAATGATACTGGGTGCAATGGATCCCTACCGTGGTGGCACGTAGACACTGTCTAATTACTTTCTCACGTCTTTAAGTCCTTAAGGGACTAAAATTCGCTAGAATTCCACAGGTGTGAATGGCAAACTTTGCAAAGCAGGAGCCCAGCCTCACTCATTATTTTCACAGAATAAACAATTGTTATCAAAGCACGGGGACTTCCTTAAATTAGCAAATGCTTAATCTTCACAACAGAATTACAGAGAAGACTCCAATTAATGAATAATGAGTTAGAGTTCTTTAGGGAGATTAGCTCAAATTTGTTCTACAGTTGGAAGCACCTACAATAAATCAAACTGGGTTAATCAAATGTTGCCTAATAATGGACTTTAGGGAATCCACTACAATGAAAAGATAAATATTACTTAAAATTGGCACACTAATTGTTGGTGTGTAAATAGGAACTTCTTAGAGTGCTCAGATAATTGGTGTGAATTGAAGAATGCTTACGGTACTACTTGTGGCACCCTGATGAGCATTCTTAGGTATCTAACCTCTCAGAGTAATTGATTTGGTAGACTGGGAAACCTTCTTAAGTGCTGCAGGTGTAGACGGGGTGGATCAGCTGGAGAGGGGGGTGGCGGAGGAGTGGCGGAGGAGTGACGGAGGGCGGTGAGAGGAAAGGATACCCCTCAGCTCAGTTATCTGCTTCCTGGGCAAAACGTCATCCCAGCATGTTAGGTTCCTTAGGCTTCCCCGGGGCTTCTGGACCCCAGGCTGGGACAGAAAAGCCTGAAGGTGAGACTGGAAGACTTCAGGCTGAACCGGGACCTTGCCTAAGGAAGTTCAACCAAGGCCTGAGTGGGAGCTCCAATCACAGCCCCTCCACAGATCTAGCTGTGCCTCATCCCCCTCAGCCACAGGTCCCCCTTCGGATCTGGATTCCCCGTCCCTCACTGCTTGGAGCATTCCTAGAGGGAGCAAAGGAAACGGTTCTAGGAAAGAGACCTAGCTGCTTCTTTCCTATAAATGCGGATGGAACCATGATGTCCAATTCTCACCTCAAGCCCAGCATGTCCAAAATCAAAATCAAACTCCTATTTCCACGTAAGTCCACCCTGTCTATATCCCCTGTCCCAGTGGAAGGCAGCACAGGGCAGTCATAGTTTTCCTGGTTCCCTCCAGTGAAGATCTCATTCCCATAGCCAGCCAGTCACCAAGGCTCATCAATTTTACCTTTGATCCTGGAGAGAGTAGCAAGGGACCCCCAGAGGCCAGCATCTTCCCTCACCTCCGTTTGCCCTCACTGGGCTGTGTGCAGGGTACCTTGTCCCACTCCCTCCCCTCACCTGTGCCCATGGACGCTGCCACCCTTGCTCCATCAGTGTTTGGGGCCCCATCAGCCTTAAAGAGGACACAAGGATGCATGGCGCACTGTGCTGCATGAAGGGGGTTCGCCACTCCAGGAAGCAGAAGAAACACAGCCTCGTGAAGACTCATAGAAGCCAAAGACCACATGAGTTGTACACACCAAGGAGTCAGGGGGCTGGGTATCTGGGAAAGGCTTGCTGAGGCACAGGGGCTTAAGTTGACTTAAAAAAGAAGCAAGCACCATTTGATAAGCACTCATTTTCCTCATGCTACTCCGAATGAAAAATAAAGAAAAGATAAACACTCCCGGCACTGGGTCAGGAGCTTTAACATCATATTGTAGTTAAGGACAGGCACTGGAGTCAGGAAGACCTAGGTTTGAACCCACATCTGTCTCTTACCAGCTGTATCATCTTAGCCTTAAAATGTCCAGTTTTATAAAATGTTGAGAATATATCAGAGTTGTGAGGATTAATGAGTTAATATATTTACGGTGCTTAGAACAGTGTCTGGCAAACAATAGTACTCAGTGATTTTTAGCCTTTACTAATATTAATCCTTATACAACCCTCTGAGAGAAGGCTGGTGCATTGATTCATTCGAGGATATGCAGAGATCAACAAGACCGCCCTAAAGGATGGAACTCGCAGCCCAGCGTGGGACGCAATCACTGCCCAGCCTGTGCAGTGGGCAGTGTTGGGAGAGCAAAGCGTTGCTGGTTATCCAGCTCTGCTGGGGAGGGGAGGCGATGCCTCCCCACTGATGCTTGAAGTGGTCTTGAAGGCTCAAAACTGCAAAGGTAAGCAACTGTGCGCCTTCTGGTGATGGGGCTGGGTGAACACCATGTTTCTGAGTTGGGCGGACACCATGTTTCTGAGTTGGGCAGATTGGAGCCTGGTGGGAGGAGAAAAGGCTGAGGAGGCAAGTCATGAATGGCTTCTTAGGCCACAGTGAGGAGGAGCTGCGATTCTGATCTAGAGGTGCTAGGAGCTGCTGAAAGTAGGAACAGTAGAGTGATGTGACCAGCGGCCACTCAGGAGAAGGAACTCCAGGAGCAGTGGGAAAGAGGGACAGCCTGACCAGATGAGCGAGATGAAGGAAGACATTGGGCTCCTCTCTCCTTATCTGGTCCTCTACCCACTGGGCACATGCAACCCAAACATTAATCAGTCAATCCTGTGCTTACATAAGTAAACAGTTATAAGTTCTCAAAACTGTGATATTTCCTCTCCAGAGTACAGCAGCCTTTATGACTATGAAAGAAGCTGGAAATCTCAGGTGAGCTTCAAAGTTAAAAAAAAAAAAAAGACTGGAGGCCATTTATACATTATCTTAAAACCAGGTTGTTTATTGGTATATACACACTCACACTCACACCCACACACACCCATACACCCACTCCTGATGCACTGAGCCAATACAGTACTGAGAAGGGACCTGATGAGGTTCAGGAGGCTAGTGTGGAGGGCTCGGGTCACTGGTGACTCTCCAAAGAAAAAAATATACTGACTATGAGGCAAGGGATACACCAAGACAACAGCCTTCCATCACTGTTTGCACAGATTTCACTTCTCATCACCTCCCTGCAATAATTCTCAAGGTGCCCCGAATGGACCCAGCTTCCCTGGCACAGCTGCTGCCTTACAACATGGCCAACAGTGGCAGGATTTGTAGAGGGGAGAGGCTGGGACTGAGTGTCCCATACAGCCAGCCCATCAAGAGCACCCTGACGGAGTGCTCTTAGGAATCTCCATCATCTTAATATCCACTACCCAGGGATGGGAGCTCTTTATCTCCATCCAACTCATTTTCTGCTCAATAATCCCTCCATCTCCACTCCCAGAACTTGATGGCAGGGAGGCCGGGGAACAATAAGGGAGAGCAAGGGCAGGTGGCTGCCTTGCCCAAGCCTAGGGGAGAGCCCACCCCGCCACACCACTGAGGAGCCTCTCCTCTACTGAAAAGGGGCAGCAAGCTCTAAGCCCTGGCACTGCCCAGGTGCCACTGCTCCTTCTGGACTGGGTGCCCTGGCCCATTATCTCACCTGCGAGCCTAGTCCCTGCTCAGAACTCAAGGTGATCAGGTTGCAAAGCAGCTGCTCCAGCCACCTGTAGGATGGCACTGCCCTGGCCCCTCTCCAAGAAACACGTGCCAGATGCTTTTCCTTTCCTCTCACTTTGATGAAGCCCTAGGGTCCATCATCTCCTCCTGAACATAAGTCTTGAACATTTTCAGGCACCTTGGTAGGATGAGGGAGTAGGTGAGGAGGGGGAATTTCTTGGGAATAATATTCCTACCAAATCAGGACCTGTATCCCTCAGCCCCAGTTCTCACCATGCTGCTGGGGAAAGCAATGAAAATGGCGGAAGCTGGCGGATCTTAGGAATTCTGGGAGGAGGCAGTCCCTGCACACCAAAAGAGCCTGGATTAGGGCTGGGTGGGTGATTTGGTGATAAGCAGGAGAGTGGTTGCCTTCACCAACATTGAATCTCCTGGACCTTGGACATGAATCACTGTAGGAGAAGCTATTTTCTTCCTGGGATGTCAGAGAAAGGATGCCTCAGTCTGCCTTTTCCCCATACTTGACTTTAGGGTCAATGTATATTCAGTCCACCCATCAGGCTCATTTTTATAGGGCTGGGGTTACTAAAGAAATGAGGCAGATGGGGAGAAGAGGGGAAGGGATGCTGGACACAGAGTCAACAACGCATGGTCAGATCCGTTCTGCCCCAGAGCCAAGATCCACACAACCTCCCCTCCCTACAGCCCAGCAGGAGCTCCACCCGATGGTTGGGGCAGGGGACATTCCCACTGCCCTTTGGGCTTAAGGCTACCAGAGGCCATTGGCTCTCCCTCTGGCTGGTCTGCCTACCTCTTATAGGGCAAGGGCTTAGAATTTCCCCTTCCTCACCCTTGGCCCAGAGTTCAGGGATCCATTTCTTTCTGGTTCTTCCTAAACCCACATTTGGGATTCAGCTTATGCCAGGGCCTGGAATCTCTACCTCAGCCTTCCTCCTCCCAGCCTCACCATCCTTAGGGGAGAATGGGGCCTTTCTGTAGCCCTTCCCAACCCCTCCCTGTCCCCAAGAGAATGGGGGCAGGAACTGCAGTCATGGTGATGGGTTGGGAGAGGAGTGATGCTGGGGGTGCCAAAACCAGCTGCCAGACTGTTTGGCACAGCCAGACATGGACAAAGACCCTAAGGTTGAATAGCCCAAGCAGGGCAGCATGTGAAATGACCCTTTCTCAGAAGGACCATCCCAGCCTGTGGCCCAGGATCCTGGTCCTGGTGGAGGTTGCAGTGCACACCAGACTGGCTCCAGAAGAGGAAGGGTGGCTTCACATCCACCCTGGACTGCCCTTCTCTTCTTCCCCCAGAATCCCAAGCGTGGACAACCTGGGTGCCTCCACGATACCAGGAGACTCCAGCCACATCCACCAGACTTACAAAGGACACGTGGTGGGACTGGGGGTTGTGGGGTGCAGAGGAGGTGGACGAGTATATTCTGAGATCCAGGGCAACCGGAAAGTCACGGACGAGACTGGGAGCCGTGGAAGGATGGGGAACGAGCAGGAGGGGTCTGGAGCCTGTGAAACCCAGAAGGAGGAAGCCCGCCCTGGGGGCTGTGGCTAGTCCCGGAAGGCGGAGAGCATGTGTCCGTAGAGATAGTGGGAGTGAGCTGAGGGAGAGAGAGACAGGCATCGCACTGAGGCAGGTTGCAGGGCATCTGTGAGGCGGGTTGCAGGCCGTGCGGCAGCGGCAGCGCAGCGTGCTCCAAGCGCAAAGCGCCCAGGCCAGATGAAGCAGGAAGGGGCAAGCCGAGCAGGCTGGCGAGCAGGGCTGGAGCAGCAGGGCCAGGCCGGCAGCCAGAGGTAGGTGCGTGGGGCCAAGGGCCAGCAGCAAGGTGCCCGCGTCCCCGGGCCTGGCCCACTTACCCCGAGCCACGGGCACACCCCCGTCAGACCCAGGGCGGGAGGGTGGGGGGTCAGCAGGAGTAGGTCCGAACCGTGGAGGTCTCCAGTCTCTGCGCCCCCGCCGTCCCGGCTGGGAGGAGTCAGCAGCCGCGGGAGAACACACAGAGCGGGGGTTAGTGCGCGCACACGCTCCCCGCGGCGTTAGTGCAGCGGCAGCCCGGGAGCGCGGGGCGCCAGCCTCGGCCTTGTCCGTCTCCGCCCGGTCCGGCCCCAGGGTGCCAGGAAGGAGCCCGTGCTCGGCCGGGCCTCAGCCATGCCCAGCCCGCCTGTCACTCACCTTCAGGCATGATCTTCTTTGGCGGGGCCGGTGGGGGCTGCAGGGGCCCCAGGGTGGACACGCGGAAGCCTGCCGGGAGGGTCTCTGCCGAGGCGCTGAGCATGCCACCGCCTCCGTGGTGCTCCCGCGGCCGGAAGCGCTTCCTCCAGGAGGGGGCGCGGCGGAACACCTTGTCATCCCCCTGCACGGTGGGGGACACCAAAGGCCCGAGGGCCCTGTTGGAATTGCCATCCTCAGGGCCTGGCTGGAGGGGGCCAGTCGCGGCAGGTTCTAGGAGCACCAATCCTACCCCTTTGGAAAGAGGGGAGCGGGGTCACCTCCCCTTTCTTGGCCTGAGTTTTTCCATCTGTACAGTGAATGGAGAAACCCTGCGACTCTGAATTTCTCTGTCCCTGGCTGGCGGATGAAGGGACTGTGTGGGGAGAATGTGGTTGGGTCTGCCATCCTGCAGTTGAACTGTTTCCCAGCCCACTGCAATCTTCTCAAAGTGGGCTTGGCATGACCACTGACCTTTCAAGGCTCTCCTCAGCCTCAGCCCATGGGAAACAGTCCCTATACACACTGTCCTGTCCTTCTGGGGCCTCTGAATGTTTGTAACCCAGTATGCTGGAAAAGCACTGTCGGGAGGCAGACGCCTGGCTTCTAATCCTGACTCTGCCATTTTACTGGCTATGTGACCCTGGACCAGATGAGTGACCTCTCTGAGCCTCGGTTTCATCATCAGTAAAACAGGAATAACATCTGCCCTACTTCTCAGGCTGCCTATTGCTAATGGGATCAGATGAAATCACCCGGTGACAGAGATGGGTCAAGCAGACGACCAAGTAGATGCACGCTCCTCCAAAGGACATGGCAGGCAGCCCCTGCCAACTGCCCCCCTCACCCCTGCCATGTCTCCAAAATAACCATCTCTGCCACAGGGCACCCAAAGCCACAACCTTACAGTAGGCCCCTCTGCACAGGCCTCCCCTCCCCACACTTCAGAGCCTCCATCCACCCTGCTTGGAAGTCATGCCCATCTCCCTCCACCCCATGTTCTCAGAGCTGATGCAGGCAGGGTGGGACTAGCAGGAACAATGGACATTCACCCACCTGTTCTTGCCTCCACAACCCCTCCCAGGCCCGACCCCCTAGGGTTTGTTGTGTGTGCCCTGAGTGGGCCAAATGCTCTGATAAATTCTCAGCACCATGTCCCTCTCTGTCATAGCACCCCTCCTAGTAGCATTTTTATATGTATTTATAAGATTATTTTATTAATACAGTCACACACCACATGTTTCAGTCAGTGATGGATGACATATACCATGGTGGTCCCATAAGATTATAATACTTTTACTGTGCCTTTTCTATGTTTAGAAATACAAACACTTACAATGCCAACAGTATTCAACACAGTAACAAGCTGTATAGATTTGTAGCCTAGGAGCAACAGGCTATATACCATGTAGCTTAGGTGTGCAATAGGCTATACCACCTAGCTTTGTGTAAGTCCATTCTATGATGTTCACAGTGATCAAATTGCCTAATGATGTATTTCTCAGAACTTATCCCATGG